TCTAGAATATCCCTGGAGGATTCTCCAAACCTCTGGAACCACTTGAGTCTCCAGGATGCCTCAGGAACGGGATGAGTCTCTGGGGCTGGGCCAGTCCCCCTAAGGCTTAAAAGGAATGGGCCACGGAGTGCCAGGGCCTAGGTCATGTGTCCTTTCGTTAGCAGAGTAAACTATTACACGCTCCAAGCTTTTGGAACCTTCCTTGAGTGAGAATGCTCTGGAACACGTCTTCAAGGAATACCACTTCCCATCTATGTACTCCAAGGGGATCTAGCATGGAGCACCTTCTGGGTTCAGGGTGTCCCCAGCCACATATCCTTCAGGATGTGTCTTGTGATTCCTGAGCACATACAGAACATTCCAGCTGCAGGGCTTTGAGGTGTGGCTTTTTAATGTGCAAGCATTTTAAATAGATCAATTTGAGATGTTAACTTCCGATACAAGTAGTTTCTTACCTCTGTTCGTTGACCCAGAATTTGCTCTTTAAGCTGGAAGCGAAAACAAATCACACAATGAATATCACAAGGATGGCAGTGGTGTTAACTTTCCTTCCCAAACACTCACGGGAGCATCTTAGTCTTCTGGGGCATTTTTGCATTTCCTCATAGCTCAGCAATATGGAAACCTCCCCAGCCCAGGAGCCAAGCCTGAATACACATGCAGAAGAAAACCCAACGTTTTTCACTGCTGATGCTCCAAGTCACACCCCACATGCTGGGCCTTCTTTGTGGTCCTGCTGTCAGATCATTTGTCAGACCACCTGGAACCAGACAATATGACACTACTATACCAGTGTGGAGTGAAGACTGTCGCCCTCTCCTCTTCCACCTGCACAAAGGAGGCTCTAATAATCACCTGCACACTTGGGGGCAGTTTTGTCTTACTCCCAGCCCAAAGTTCAGACTCACTTCCAGGTAACCAGGGGTAAAATTACAAGATATAAGATGAGAAGATGCCAACTTTAGATCTCATAGTTTAAGCCCACAAACTATCATCACCAAGCACAAAATCCAAAATTCCATATTGCAAATTTGCTGCTGAGAACAAAGTTTGGGATGGTTGTTATTTATCGCATTATTGAATAAATTCTATGCACTCTGCTTTTATTTTTGTGCTTGATGGCATTCTTCATTTTGCTACCTGCTGGCTTAATGCTGCCTCCTTGGCAGTTGCTTTCACCATCTGCAGTGCGTTCTAGTTCAGGGGGTGGCAAACTGCAGCTCGTGAGCCACATATGGCTCTTTGGGTACATACATGTGGCTCAGAAGTAAAATTGAAAATGAAAATAATACTATCATAGTTTCATTTATAAAATTTTTAAAGGATATTATTCACATAATGGTGATTTCATGTGTTTTATGGCTCTCAAATAATTTTTAAATTGTTGTGAGTGACAGGATTGGCTCTTCTGTCTCAAAAGTTTGCCGACCCCTGTTCTAGTTAATTGAGTTCAATTATTCCTTGGGCATGGCTCTGAGAGGGGAAGCAACTGGAAATACTACTAAAATTAGATAGTATTTAAAAAAAATTTTAAAGCCCCAGAGCACACGAGGCCTGGATCAAGGTCCCCTGTGATACTCTCTCATAGCCGCTTGCTCTGACAGGGGCTGCTGAAACCAGTCCATCCCTGGCTGGGGCTTGGTAAGAACAGCTGCAGACCTAAGAGAAGTAGACACTTCTAGAAGAGTTCACTGGCATATTAAAGGACAGTGAAACAGGTGATAAGTTGCAGTTAGAGTGTCACAGGTGCAGTTAACTTGGCCAAGCTGTGGGCTCACTCAGGCAGTATCTGACTGCCTCTCTCCTAGCTTGGTCCAATTTTTTTCCTTTCTCCCTTTTGCTTCTTACTTTTCCTCCTTTTTTTTTTTTCTGTTTTTGTTTTCCTCTACCTTTTTCCCTTTACTTTTCTGCCTTCCTCCAAACTTTTTCTCTCTTAACCAGTTAAAATATGAGGCTGCACTATTGGATAAATTCTAGACTTTCTTATTTTATTTTTAACAGTACATGAGTTAAACTTTAAGACTACTTGGCCTAAACAAAACAAAAAATAAAAACAAAATTAATCTTCAGTTGCATTGTACTTTTCTATATCTCAATTGCTTTTTCTGTTGGCTAAGACCCTCACATTAGGAAAAAGAAAAAAAATTCTAGTGCCCTGATTGTTGAGAAATCATGAGAATAAATGATCTCTTGTCCCCAGTTAATATCCC